TGGTGGTTCAAGCAATCCTCAGACTTCCAGGCTAAAAGGTATTTCTGCTATCCGTGGTGCTCCTCCTCTGGCTATACAACCGCCTGGTTCGAGGCTCCTGATTGTGGTGTCTGTTCCACCCAATATTTGCTCAGCGGGCTAGGTGGTCCTCAAGGACAGGCTCTACTGGTACTAACGATCTGGGAAGCCGCTGGAAGCTAGAGCTGAGAACTATGGCAATCAGGGCAAAAACACGGGCTCTAATTTTCCTGACTTGGATGGTTATCATCGTTCCAAATGAAGCTACACCTTATTATCCTTCTTCAAATGAAAAGCTCATGTTGTTCAATTCTGGGCAGCATCGAGAGTTCCTGGCTCTGCCACAGCTGGGTCACTTAACTCTACACATTAGTAACTAATCTGGTTTTCAGGGTGGTGTAGCTGTTTGTTCTCCTGTCTTCTCCTTTCTGGGGGCCAACTCTGCCAAAGAGAGCTGCGCACAGAAGAAGCAAGTTGCTCCTTTCTAAGTCCCAGAGAGGAGACTTATCTCAGTCTGTTCATTTCACGGTTACATCCTTTCCTGGGTCTCTCAACAGGCAGGAGCTAATCCTGCCCGGCTACATCAATTACTGCACTCACGGGCAGTGACTCCAGAGTGCCCCTGCTGGCTGTGGAATTGGCAGCGCTGCCTGAAAGGCCTTCCTCCTGGATGCACACGCTACCCAGTGCCAAAGGTGATGCCGGCAGCCGCTGGTATTTATGATGCCCGCGTTTTCCAGTGTCAGTTATCAAGGCTGCCAGGTCAAGGCTTCCCTCTCACTGTACCCTTGCTGCAGTTTTTACCTCTTGGCTCTACTCAACTGCTGTCTCTGGGCCCTGGAAAGCAGCATGATTGCTGCCTCACACTCCAGGTACAAACAGTACTGATGGAGAAAGCCTCCTGCGTAGAGCGCAGGGGAAGGGAAATGCAGCACCGGATGGAGACAGGTTCTGGAGGAGCAGCAAAAAAAAAGGAGGCACATCCTCTTCACGCGCCACACCTTGTTGGTTATGTTTGGCCATTTAAGGATCTGCGCCGGGCGCGTTGGCTCAAGCCTGTTAATCCCAGGCAACTTTTGTGGAGGCCGAGACGTGCGCGTCACTGAACGGTTAAGGAGATCGAGGACCATCCTGCTAACACGGTGAAACCCCGTCTCTGACTAAAAAAATCAAAAAACTAGACGGGTGAGGTGGTTGGCGCCTGTAGTCCAGTACTCGGGGAGGCTGGGATGGGGAATGGCGTAAACAGGAGGCGGAGCTTGCGTGAGCTGGTCTGGCCACTGCACGTTCTGCATCTCCTGACCTTGTGATCCACCCACCTCGGCCTCCCAAAGTGCTGGGATTACAGGCATGATCCACTGCGCCTGGCTCTGATTTTTTTTTTTAAGTATTATTTTGAGGCAGGGTCTCACGCTGTCACCCAGGCTGGAATGAAGTGGCGCCATGAAGGCTCACGGCAGCCTCGACCTCCTGGACTCCAGCGATCTTCCCACCTCAGCCTCCTGAGTAGCTGGAACCACACAACATATACCACTGTGCTCAGCTAATCTTTATTTTTTGTAGAGACGGAGTCTCACCACGTTGCCCAGGCCTCGGCCTCTTAAAGTGCGGGGATTACAGGCATGAGTGTGAAGTGTTAAACAGCGGCTCAGGGAGGCCAACCAGGGTCCAAGAAACCCCGTCCCTGCTGCCTCCACTGGTCCAGAGCTAGTACCCCCAGCCAGCATGACACTCATGTCCCAGACATTGTGGGTCAACAGAAATTCAGATAGCTAAGAGAATGGAAACGGACAAAGGAGGCACAGGAGGATTCCGTGCCAGAGTCTGGATTGGTCACCCCCGTTCAGGTTCTGCCTGAGGAAAGGAGAATGGGGTCCGGGCACAGTCGGCTGGATGGAGCATCTGAAGACGGCTTGCACCAGAGCCCTCGTGGCTGAAGGAAGAAGCCAGGGGGTGAGTCAGCCCCAGGGCTTGATGGAACAGACAGGAACTAGATGATCTAGTAAGGGAGAAGCAAGGCTGAGCAAGAGACAGCCCAGGCTCCCTGGCTGCCACTGCCTAATCTGTCCCCCTTCACACATCCCACACACAGTGTTTAGACAGAGCAGCAGAGAAGAAACAGACATCCTGGATCCCGCGGGGAGCAGGCCGGGGCTGGGAACAGGAGGTCTGTTTATTCCTGGCAGTCCCATATCAGAAGGGTCCCACACCCACTTCTGTCCAGGCCCCAGGCTGAACTCTCCCAGAGCCTGTGACTTCTGCCCTACCATATCGCGTGGTTCTGAGGGCCGGCCCTGGAACCCTGCATCCTCCCCACCCACCAGCTCCCTCGAGGATGGATTTGAGGCTGGATGCTTTCGTCTTCCCACTTTTTGTCCCAACAGAAGTCCCTCCTCTTCAGGATCCCTGACTGACTGTGCAGAGCTGGCAGAGCCGGCAGAGCCGGCAGAGCCACACTCCGCGGACCTCCAGCCCTTCAGGCCCAGCTCTCCTGGAGAGCACGGAAGTCCCTTTGCTCCATTTACTTTTTCAGCCAGGAAGTGTTTCCTAATGTCTCACCCCCAGCGCCAGCTTTCCTGCTGCAGTTTCCGCCTGTTCCCTCCCATTTCAGGCCTTAAGGGAGTGTGGCTGGGCTTCTCTCCTCCCCCTCACTCCAAAGCCACACTTGATACAAGGTGGAAATCGAGGCACCACTCCTCCTGGCTTCCCAGCCTTGAACTTGCCCTTCCCTCTCAGTGTACCTGGTTTCCTCAGTTTCCCTGTGCAGCAAAAGTGTCACTCCCCTCTTGCTTTTCCTAAGCTCCCCATGTGCCTCTCTCAGCAGATCTGTCTTAGAGGGGCCAGGTGCAGAGAAAAGCAAAAATCCTAATAATGTTCCTAGCGATCGCTGCCTGTCACGGAGTGCTGAAGGACCAAGTGCTGATCTGAGTCCTCATCACACGGGACCTCATTTAGTCTCACGATAGGTGAGTACAACTATGGGCCCCATTTTACAGATGAGGAAACTAAGGCAAGAGAACTTTAGTCATTTGCCCAAGTTCACCAGCTTTTAAAAGGATCCGGACAGCTCTGATTCCAGCGCCAGCTCATGCCTCTTCATTGTGGGGGAGGAAAGAGAGGGAGTCGTTTGTTGGAGCAAACCCCCACCCATCAAGGGCCAAGCCACTGGCGTATATGCAGCCATATGTGTTATGCTGTGATATGCCCCACCACGACCTTAATTAGAGGTCGTTTTTCTTGTTCCCATTTTAACACAGACAAAAACCGAGGCCCAGTAGTACCTTACCCAAGGTCACATCCCCAGAGCCATTTGTCCCTCATAGTTCAGAACTTAGAAAGCAGTTGAGAAAAGTATGGAATGACGCCAGATTCAGGAAGGTAAGTCTGACCTTATAAACTGAAAGGCCCATCAGGCGATGGGATGGGGAAGTGAAGATCCTCAGGCCCCAAACACCCGCCACTGCCGCCATCACACACGGAAGTATGAGGGAGCCTGGTGTACTGTCAACTGACCGGCCAGTCCAGGGGCTTAAATATAAATGCATCAGCTGAGGCGGGAAGTCAGGAGGGGTAAGTCAATCACTATTATTCATTAACTGGAATGCATTTCTCAGATTACTCCAAGCTGGAGTAGGGAAACTGCCACCTAGGTGGCAGGGCAGAGGGACACTGGGTAGGAGGGGGAGGCAGGCCTCCCAGTTGCTGCGGTTCAGAATACGCCAGGTCCCACCTCCCAGAGGCGGGGCCGGGGCTGAGTCCCGCCAGCCTCGTTTCTCCATCCCTCTGAGAACCCAGACGGGCAGAGCCTGAGTAGGAGAGCCTGGCCCCGCTGTCTCCACCGGGTGGAGACACCATGCACTTGGTCCACTTGTGCTCTTCAGCCAGGACACCAGACATGGTCCAAACCCCTGCAGGGCTGGCTGCAGCAACTCCCTGACACTCAGGAAGGCCCAGGCTGGGCAGGCAATACCTGCTCCCAACAGCCATGTGAGTAGCTACTCCCCCAACCCCCAAACCCCAGATCCTGGAGAGGCCACTGCACCCAGCCCAAGCCACCAGACCCTCGGGGGTGTGCAGGTGGTACAGCCTGCACCCTGCTGGGAAATCACCCCTAGGGGCTGCTCCCTGCCTTTGTCACTGTTCTGGTGGAGGTGGGGTAGGGGGAATCATTCCGATTAGGGCTGGGAGCTCCAGCTTAGGCCAGGTTTGGGGTAATGAACCCTGAGTCTCGCGGGGCTTGAGAGAGTTGATGGTGCTAGGGGGAAGGGAACAGAAACTGGAAGGCCTCTAGAGAGGAAAAGACATCCTGGGTGGAGGGCACTGGAGGAGACTGAGGAAGAGAAAACACGATTAGGGGAGGGGAAAGGGGGCACAAGGCCTTGGAGGCCCGGGTTCGGGGTGCTGGGGGAACCTGGGAAGGAAGGGGAGCATCTTCCTTCCTCTCAGCTCAGGGTGGCCATGGGGCCCTGATCCCCTGTCCTGGAGGAGGGGAGAGGTATGAATCCTTTCCTTATTGACTTGGATCCTAGCAACAGCAGCTGCTCCCCTGTTGACAGAAGCAGGAGTTCCCACAGGACCCAGGACCCCTCCCCCGTCCCCAGGATGTGGCAGCAGAGCCATGACACTGGAGGACTGAGACCAGGGAATGACGGGAAGGACAGGGACAGATGAGAGCCACAGAGAAGCCAGGCTTTGCCCACTGACTCCTCTTCCCTCTCCTCTGGGCTCAGCCTCAGGCCTGGGGGTGTTGGGGAGTCCCTGTCCTTGCTGCTGGCATCTCCATGTTCACTGCCACAGGTCCCCTCCTGCTGCTTCTCTCCTCCCTCCAGCTCCCAGGAAGGACCCTGTTGCTAGTGTGGAGCAAAGACGAGTCAAGTTTATGGGCTGGAAGTCCTACCCGGAGGCTGCTCACTGAGCTGTGATGGCTACAAGGACAGATAGGGGGAAGGGCACAGGGTGCCCGAGACCTGGCCCACTGGAGCCTGTCACCTAATGGCCGGCCGGAAGACCACTACACACCAGCCAGCCCTGGTCCATTCTTTTGGCTCATTTAGGGGCCTCCCCGGTGGAGGCAGGGATACACAAAATGCTTTGGGGCTGGATGGACCCGCCTTTCAGTCTAAACAAGAGACCTAAACACAGCCGCCCAGAAAAGGCAGATACCAGAAATGGATAAAGCTGGCTGGGTGGGGACTGTCGGAAGGGCAGCCAGCAGTGAGCTCCGGCTGGTTGCTACCATATAGGACATATGTGTTGCCAGACCTGATTTTTCAATAGAAACCAAAGATAGTTTTTTATATAAATGTTTAATTGGCAATTATGAAAAATTCTGTGTATCAGTGAACATAATACAGCCCACAGCCTGCGGGTCTGTGTCCCTGGACTAACATGCCGCCCTGCCAGGAGGACACGACCTGCAGCCCCATCCTAACTCTGGCCACCCCATCCTGCAGGCATGCCGGCTGCCACTCCAGGACTCCCCCGTCCTCAGGACCGAGATGACGCCCAACAGCACTGGCGAGGTGCCCAGCCCCATTCCCAAGGGGGTTCTGGGGCTCTCCCTGGCCCTGGCAAGCCTCATCGTCACAGCGAACCTGCTGCTAGCCCTGGGCATTGCCTCGGACCGCCACCTGCGCAGCCCGCCTGCTGGCTGCTTCTTCCTGAGCCTGCTGCTGGCTGGGCTGCTCACGGGTCTGGCATTGCCCACGTTGCCAGGGCTGTGGAACCAGAGTCGCCGGGGTTACTGGTCCTGCCTCCTCCTCTACTTGGCTCCCAACTTCTCCTTCCTCTCCCTGCTCGCCAACCTCCTGCTGGTGCATGGGGAGCGCTACATAGCAGTCCTGAGGCCACTCCAGCCCCCTGGGAGCACTCGGCTGGCCCTGCTCCTCACCTGGGCTGGCCCCCTGCTCTTTGCCAGTCTGCCCGCTCTGGGGTGGAACCACTGGACCCCTGGTGCCAACTGCAGCTCCCAGGCTATCTTCCCAGCCCCCTACCTCTACCTGGAAGTCTATGGGCTTCTGCTGCCCGCTGTGGGTGCTGCTGCCCTCCTCTCTGTCCGCGTGCTGGTCACTGCCCACCGCCAGCTGCAGGACATCCGCCGGTTGGAGCGGGCAGTGTGCCGCGATGAGCCCTCGGCCCTGGCCCGGGCCCTTACCTGGAGGCAGGCAAGGGCGCAGGCTGGAGCCATGCTGCTCTTCGGGCTGTGCTGGGGGCCCTACGTGGCCACACTGCTCCTCTCAGTCCTGGCCTATGAGCAGCGCCCACCCCTGGGGCCTGGGACTCTGTTGTCCCTCATCTCCCTGGGAAGTGCCAGTGCAGCGGCAGTGCCCGTGGCCATGGGGCTGGGCGATCAGCGCTACACAGCCCCCTGGAGGGCAGCCGCCCAAAGATGCCTGCAGGGGCTGCGGGGAAGAGCCTCCCGGGACAGTCCCGGCCCCAGCACTGCCTACCACCCAAGCAGCCAAAGCAGCGTCGACCTGGACTTGAACTAAAGGAAGGGCCTCTGCTGACTCCTACCAGAGCATCCATCCAGCTCAGCCACCCAGCCTGTCTCCACTGGGCCCCACTTCTCTGGATCAGAGACCCTGCCTCTATTTGACCCCACACTGACTGAATAAAGCTCCTCTGGCTGTTTACACTTATCTCATTCCGTATCTCAGGGCGAGGCAGGAGGAAATGGCTCAACACACCAACAACAGAAAGAACCTACAGACATACGCATGGATTAAGGCAGAGTCGACTCCAGGCAGACAAGAAGTGTCGTGTGCACAGACCCTGGAGACGGGGAGCTGGCACATCTCAACATCCAGCCGACTCTGCGGGAGAGCCTTGCCCTGACGGGGCCCTAGCTAGCTCCTCCTAGGGTCCAGCCACCACAAAATCCACACAGACGCTGTCTCTGGGAAGTATATTTTATTTACATTTTTAAAATCTTTAACTAGTATCTCTTCCTCCTTTCCACCCCCAGAGACTTGGGAAGGGAAAGAACGGGAACCTCAAACACCTACTCCCCACGTACAAATACACACCCCATGGCTCACACCAGCAAATGAAAGTGAAAGAGAAACAGGTCCGCCCCTCCCTCTGAAGGGCCCACCAAGTCTGGGCAAGGGTGGGAGGGCCCTGGGCTGGGTCTCTAAAGAGAAGAAAAGGAGAGGGGAGCAAGTCAGTTGAAGAGGGCTGGAAAGTCATCCAGGGCCCCACCCTCCTCTTCCCTCTGTGCCCTACTGCCTCTGCTGGCGGGCGGGGGCAGGGGTCCCTCCGTCCCCTCAACACCAGACACACAGGCAGGGGCTGCAGCCATTAACGGTCAGGCCTCTGGACACAAAATACTTTCGCTTTGTGGTCTCCTGACGTGGTCACCACCAGGGAGGCATCTCTATAAACAGAAAGCATGTGATTGCAGAGACGGGGGGACCCAAGCCCCCCACCCAGGGGCCCTAGGGTGGGCTCCTCCAGCACACCCTCAGTTCTAGGGCCCTAGTGCCCGGCACTGGGCCGACATCTCTGCAGCCAGCATGGAGGGAATTAGAGGAAGCCCCCAGCACGGGAGAAGCAGAGCTGACTCCGATGGGGAAAATCAGTCTCAGCCTCTCCCTCATGACTGAGATGTGGGGCCCCGGAGGGTCACTATCAGTCACTGGGGTGAGGGCTGGGCTGTGAACCCTCAGGCTTCCCAGCATCCCTGCCTTAGGAATCCCCTCCCACACCCCAAGGATCCTGTGTCCCCCACTACTCCCACCTTCCAAATACACAGAGATCCCAGCCCTTGGCCAATTCACTTACTTGCTGAGGGCAAAGTCCAGGATCTCAGCCGTGTGGCCCCGGTAGTCAGTAAGCAGGCGGCCGGTCCGGGCGTCCCAGAGGCGCACAATGCCATCCAGGCTGCAGGTATAAACCACAGCAGTGCCTGCCTCCCACAGCAGCTGCACGATGCCCGACTGCCTCAAGGAATGACAGAGGCAGGGCAGAGGTTGGCAGGAGAGCTGAGAGCCATCTGCTCCCAGTTCTCACAAAGAGGGACAGCCACACACAACAGCCAGGCAGGAGCCAGATCTGGGGTAGATGCTCCTGGAGGCCTGGGTTTTCCCTCCACCATAGCCACAGCCCACACAACCCCAGCTCCAGCTGCCCGTACCTGGTGCTGACACTGATGCCTAAGAGTCTGCGTAGCCAGGTCATAGATGGCCAACGTCCCATCCAGGTAGCCAACAGCTGCCAGGGGCATCCTGGGCAGAGGAGCGCACCATGAAGACTCATGGGGGCCTGGACTCACACGCCCTGCCCTCCCTCCGGGGCCCCGAGCCCAGGCTCCTCCCACAAACCCCTCTCCCCATCCTCACTCACACACTGCAGAAGCCCAAGGACTCCACCGAGTTGGACTCACTCTCCTCCCCTTCTCCAAGGCTGGGCTGGGAGGCCACAGTCTCAGGTCTAAAAACACCCACCACCTGAAAGCCAGAGAGGATCAGAGGAGGGCCCGGAATCCGGGTGCTTGATGGAGAGAAAGACGGTGGGGAGAGGAGACAGTGAAGACCCAGGAAGGAAGGAGAGGAGTCGAGAAAGCGGAGGCCCCAGCCGGGCTCCAGGTCCACTCACCTTGCCAGTGGTGGCACTGACCAGCTTGGCCTGGCAGTCCACAGAGCCAGTTAGGATCAAGCTGCCATCCTGGTTGGTGGCAACACAGGTGAGTGGGCCCTGGTGACCCTCAGTCCCTAGCATAGAGCAGGGAGGCAGTCAGGCTTCATCCTACCTCTCCTCTGAGTCCTCCCCCAGGATCTCAGCCCCTCCCGACAAAGGCCCAGGCTAACACTTCCCCCACCTCTGATACCTTTCAGTACATGGATGGGGCTTCCCTGCTTCAGGTCCCAAATCCTGATGGTGCCATCTTCGTAGCCTACCACAGCTCTCTTCCCTGAAGAGAGGCACAGATGAAGAGAGGGGAGAGGACACGCTCAGATACACTAAGCAAGGGAATGGGGAGAGGGAGAGGAAAGAAGAGTGGAAGCGCCCAGACACTGCCCCAGGAATCACAGGTGAGTTCAGAGCAGGAAGGAGGCGCTATGAGCTTTGGGGCCAGGGGGTCAGCACTCCAAAGAGCAGGCCTCAGAGTTTGCCGGCTGTGGCCCAGAAGGCTGCTCCGGGAGGTGTATATCCCGGGATTCAGCCTCTGCACCCAGGAAAGGACACTCAAGGGAGGTGCTCTCACCATCAGGGAGGACTCGGCCACAGGTGGCTGGGCAGTTGGGACCCTGGAAGGTCTTGCAGTCACCATTCGGGACTTTCCACATCCAGGTGTTGCCGTCAGCTGTGCCCGCCAACAGGACAGGTGCCCGAGGATGCCACTCCATCCACTGGACAGGGAGGAAGGGGCAGCAGGGAGGCCCGTCACCCCATCCCACCTAGAAGCCTGTCCTGTGAGCTCCACCCAAGGTTTCCTGCCTCTGGGGTTCCGCGGGGATTTTCCAGGTAGCAGGCAGACCTTCTTCCTGTGCCTTGGGGCGCACTGGCTCAGAGCTGGCTTGGCGCAATAAGGAAGAACTGGCCTCCCAAGCTTGCACTCCCAGCAACCCAAGGCCCCACAGAGCTGACTCCCGCTCTGATGATCTTACCTCCAGGTCTCCCGCTTCAAAGGACCAGACCTCCTCCTTGGTGTCCACCTGCCACACTTTCAAGAGGCCACTCATGTCCCCTGTGGCCACTAGAGTGGAGTCATGGCTGAAACCAGCACAAGTCACAGAGTCTTTATGGCCTTCAAAGAAAAGTGGGCAGAAAGAGGGGAAAACAATAGGGTACCTGGTGCTGGGGGCATGTGATTCTGGTATCTGGCCCCCTGAAACGACCAGCTAGGAAAAAAAGAGGGGCGGGCCTGAGCAGAACAGGTGCTGGAACTCACTGCTGCTCTAGGAACCAACCCTCCCATGTCTCGCCAGGAGAGACACTGCTGGCCGTCACTCAACCAGGCCAAGCCCCAGCCTCCTATGCCTTCCCCCTTCTGTCCACTCTACACCTCTGCCCACAATCCCAAGTCCTCCCCTCTGCCCAACTGCTCCTATACCAATGTGACCTCCTCTGGCCTTTCCTAGACTCCCTTGGCCAATGAGTGCCTCCTGCCTCTGTGCCCAAAACACACTAGTATTCTCCCCGTGTCCCTGGGGCCCAGCACAGAGCTGGCACAAAAGAGACGTCACTGAGTGGCTATTGGATGCACGACCACTGCAGGCCAGGCTCCTAAGATCTCCCAAAGGAATATGACCTCTCCCAGGCCTCTACCTCAGCCCCCTCACCTGCACACTCAAAGAGCAGCTCCCCATCGCTGAGCCGCCATACGAAGGCTTTGTCATCTTCACCCCCGGTCACTGCCAAGGTGTTGGTCTTGGGGTCCAGGCTCACACAAAACACAGACGCTGTCCCAAGAGATATTCCATGGGTAAGGGGACAGAGCTCCCACCTAGGGCTCTGTCCTTCAGAACCTTCAGGAAACCCACCCCCTTTCACCCAAAGCAATGTGTCTTTCCTCCTGGAAAACACAGCCACATCCAAGTCTTCTAAGTTTCAAGAATCGGGTTGTTAATATCCTTCCCATATTTGCCAAGCTCCCTATTTGCCAGAGCAGATCCCCTGTGTGACTCCCCTCACCACCCGGCACCAATGCCATGGACAAGAGGTGGGTACAGGTGCAGGGCTTACAGGTCTCAGCATGGGATGCCACCGGGTTAGGTACAGAGTGAGGAGAGCATCATGTTAAGAGTTTCTTACTAAGAACTAGCACTTGAGAAAATTATATAAAATATGCTCAAAAAGATACAATTATCTCTAATTTTATTTTACTTTACTTTTTTGAGATGGAGTCTTGCTCTGTTGCCCAGGCTGGAGTGCAGTGGCACAATCTCGGGTCAATGCAACCTCCGCTTCCCAGGTTCAAGTGATTCTCCTTCCTCAGCCTCCCGAGTAGCTGGGATTACAGGCACATGCCACCACACCCAGCTAATTTTTTTTTTTTTTTTAGTAGAGATGCGGTTTCACCATGTCGGCCAGCCTGGTCTTGAACTCCTGACCTCAGGGGATCCGCCTGCCTTGGCCTTCCAAAATGCTGGGATTACAGGTGTAAACCACCGCACCTGACCAATTATCTCTAATTTTATAATCACTACTTTTATTAACTTTTATCAAAGATACCATTTTTTTTTTTTTTTTTTAGACACTCTCATTCTGTTGCCCAGGCTGGAGTGCAGTGGCGTGATCTCAGCTCACTGCAACCTCCACCCCCCAGGTTCAAGCGATTCTCCTGCCTAAGTGTCCAGAGTAGCTAGGATTACAGGCATGTGCCACCACGCCCGGCTAATTTTTGGTTTGTTTGTTTGGTTTTTTTTTTTTTTTGAGACAGCCTCGCTCTCTCACCCAGGCTGGAGTGCAATGGCGCAGTCTCGGTCTACTGCAACCTCCGCCTCCCGGGTTCAAGCAATTCTCCTTCTCCTGCCTCAGCCTCCCGAGTAGCTGGGACTACAGGTGCTCACCACCACGCCCAGCTAATTTTTGTATTTTTGGTAGAGATGGGGTTTCACCATATTGGCCAGGCTGGTCTGGAACTCCTGACCTTGCAATCCGCCTGCCTCGGCCTCCCAAAGTGCTGGGA